CCCCAAAACCCCAAAACCCCAAAACCCCAAAACCCCTTCCCTCCTAAGGAAAAATAAATTAATAAAATTGGAGAAAATGTATGAATATCGGTTGAAACAGATTTGAAAGGATTCTCAAAAAGAGTTCAATAGTCTATTCCAACGCAGTAGAAGTAAGAAGTTGTTTACCAACTTCTCTGACTACTCTGAAGGAGGTAAGTTGCTTCAATCTGTCAATGAACTTCCATAAAGTCAGATCGTTTTTCGATTTCTCTGTTTTCTTGTTAAGAATTAAGAATAAATTAATTGCAACGAACTCTAATGTGTAGATATATACAACAACAAGAATATGCAGATAGAAGGGTTGATTAATACATCAAAAGTGGAGAAGAAGATTGAATTGCTCGAAGGAAAAGCTAATCGCATCTCCCAGCTTGATGGCCCCAATAGCTCATATTTTCAAGCATTCAGCGGCGTCCAAGTTGATAAATCAATGTCTCATATTAATGAAGGCATTGAGCTATCGACTGGCCGCCAAGAGGAAGGTAACTAATCGCCTAATTCCTAGAATCGAAGGAAAACAAAGATATTCAAGATATTGTCGCAAGACAGACCAGTCCAGAAATACAACTTGAAAGGAAAGAAGAAAGATTAACTAAGCGACAGGAAAAATAAGAAATGGAATAAAATTGTGGCTTTTATGAGGAAAAATCCTGAAATTTTAATAGATCTCCTTGCAATCAAAAAGCCGAAAAAGATTGAGCATCATGAATATCAAAGGTTCGATCAAGACTATCCCTATATGGAGAGTAACGCCGATCATGTCTCGATTCCTACTCAATATTTTTATAGTAATTTCTAAAATTTAAGTTTTAGGTAACTCTCGGTCATTGAAATCAGGGTACAAAAGTGAGAATCTCAAGAAAAGTTCTCACCCAAATGTGCATGAGAAGCCTGCAGCTCAGATCCTGCGGTCAAGGATGAAACAGAGGACAGCTGTAAAAAGTAACAGGAGGCCTCTCCAGCAATTTAGCAAACGAAGTTCCCAAAAAGTAAATGATGAAATGTATTTTGCTAAGAATAAAGATAGTCACAATCAAGTTGATCCTAGGAGCAAGACCAACTGGAAAGGCATCGAAAGAAGGAAGAAAACAATCGAACACAAAAATGACAGTTTTCATATGGATTTTAGGAGTAAATCCATGAAAAGAGGTCAAAAGAGAATCAGCCAGATGCCCTTACATAATAGCTCTCATGAAGGTGGTCTGAAGGAAGGCAAATTTCCACGCATCAATAATGAGAAAATAAAGAACTCTGCTTTGAAGAGCAGTAAGAAAGTCAACCCAAAACATACTCTGAGGAATAAGACTGCTTATAATCAGAAGAGAAAAGGGGAACCAACAAAGAAATCTTCTGATAATACAGGTTCACAAATCAACACAAATAAGAGCGATGCTAAAAGTCTGAAGAAATCTGAACCTAATGAGTCTAAGATTATTACTGGTTCTGTAAGGATCACTGGAAGTCAGCCCACCAATATCAAGGAAGATCATATTGCAACTATCCCTGAAGTTAAGGAAGGAGTTGAGAAAGGCAAAGAAGAGGATGCAAAAGATGATGCTTCAAAACCAGACCAGTGAAATCTTGACACTATTCATACCAGAAATGCTTACAACGATGATCCAAATTATTCTGCATCAGTTAAAGTAGTTACAGCCAAAGAGAATCCAAGTATTTTTGAGCTCCAGAACAAATCTGCAGATTCAAAGATGACTGAGACTGCAAAATTAGGAGCTGAGAATGCTCAGACATTTGCTAAGCAAGAGCTAACTCCTCGGAAGATAGAAGAAGAGAATATCTCTGGAAATACCAGTAACATCGATGCTTCAGATAGCAGGTATATTAAGTCCTCAGTGAATGGAAGACTCGAGTCCTTTAGAGATAGTAAGATCTCAGTATCTTCAAATTTGCCAGACTGGAAATATTCAGGATTATACAAACTATTCATTATTCAGTATGAGAAGGACTCGAAGGGATACCCTAAGATTGAATATGGAAACCTCAGCCTGACCACCTTGGAGCATACACTTTCAGAATTTGTGTATCTCAACTATTTAAGAGAGAATGGTAAAGCTCCAGAAAAGGCTGAAGAGATCTTTAATGATGCTAAGGCGCATTCTACGCTTAAATATATCAGGCTAGGAATGAAAAGTGAAACTGATAGACCAGTCGAAGCTGATGACTCCTCTTCAGAAGGAGGGTACAGAAATGAAAATGAAGAAGACTTCACATCAAATTGTTTAAAACACTTCCAGGTTGGCATGTCAACTCTGAAGTACGTCATGGGACTCCTGAATTTACATAAGAACTACACAAAAATAGTCCATGCTTACCGGACTGACTCTGTAGAAGACTCAATGAAGTGCCTGTTGCGATGCAAATAAGATCTATGATGGGATTGATCTTCTGGGAGAAATCTTCCTGTTGGTAAAACATGCTCAAGAAATCAGAAAGTTTTGTAAAAAGCAAGAGAACATAGAGAAAATACAACTGAATAGTATTAACATTGAAGATATGGTTGAGCAATTAAATTCTAGCTTAGGCAAGAAGATCAGGTAAACAAAATGTTCATCTTTAGTCTATTCTGAGGAGATTATGGCAGACTATGCAGAAACAGTAGATCAGTCGAAGAGAAAATTTTGATATGTGACCAAGAATATTGCTCGATTTAGTAAGTTAAGTAGAAGTTTATGAATCAATTGAAGATAAGTTAGAAGGGGTTTTGGGGTTTTGGGGTTTTGGGGTTTTGGGG